TTTTTTTGAGACAGAGTCTTTGCTCTGTCACCCAGGCTAGAGTGCAGTGGTGCCATCTTGGGTCACTGTAACCTCCCCCTCCCAGGTTATAATCATTATCTGCCCTTGGCCTCCCAGGTAGCTGGGATTACAGGTACCCACTACCACACCTGGTTAATTTTTGTATTTTTAGTAGAGATGGGGTTTCACCATGTTGGCCAGGCTAGTCTTGAACTCCTGACCTCAGGTGATCTGCCCATCTTGGCCTCCCAAGGTGCTGGAATTACAGGTGTGAGCCACTGTGCCCAGTCTACCCATTCTAAAATAAGATCTTAACTGGGCCCAGTGGTTTGTACCTATAATCCCAGCACTTTGGGAGGCCAATGTGGGAGGATCGCTTGAGGTCAGGAGTTTAAGATCAGGCTGACAGCAACATAGAGAGACCTCCATCTCTACAAAAAAATAAAAATAAAAATAAAGCAATAGCCAGGTATGGTGGCACATGCCTGTAGGTCCAGCAGTTTGGGAGGTTGAGGTGGGTGGATTTCTTGAGCCCAGGAGTTTAAGGCTGCAGTGAGCTATGATTGTGCCATAGCACTCCAGCCTAGGTGACAGACCCTGTCTCTCAAAAAATAAATTAATTAATAATTACAAAATAGGATGTAAGATAATCAGTTGAGAGTGAGGATGGGAGGGGCTTAAGGAGAACTGAAGGTGCTGCAAGAGTAGATAGCATCAGAAAACATCATAACATTATTTATAGGCCAAGCACAGTGGTTCATGCCTGTAATCCCAGCATTTTGGGAGGCTGAGGGCAGGTGGATCACCTGAGGTGATGGAGGCTGGGAGTTTGAGACCAGCCTGGTCAACACTGTGAAACCCCATCCCTACTAAAAATATAAAAATTAGCTGGGCATGGTGGTGGGCACCTGTATTTCCAGCTACTCAGGAGGCTGAGGCAGGAGAATAGCTTGAATCCGAGAGGCACAGGTTGCAGTGATCCGAGATCACACCATTGCACTCCAGCCTGGGCAACAAGTGTGAGACTCCATCTCAAAAAAAAAAAAAAAAACAAGGCCGGGCGCGGTGGCTCACGCCTGTAATCCCAGCACTTTGGGAGGCCAAGGTGGGTGGATCACGAAGTCAGGAGACCGAGACCATCCTGGCTAACACGGTGAAACCCCGTCTCTACTAAAAATACAAAAAATTAGCCGGGCGTGGTGGCAGGTGCCTATAGTCCCAGCTACTCGGAAGGCTGAGGCAGGAGAATGGCGTGAACCCGAGAGGCGGAGCTTGCAGTGAGCCGAG